GAATCAAACTGATAAACTATTCTAGGTTGAGCTGGGGTTTCTGTCATAAGATTTAAAGTGATCACTGCCAGAAACCAGAGTGATCATCACTAGACAATTCTCTTTCCACAACTGGTGATAAGTAGAGCTGGGTAGTCACACACTGACCTCATGGCTCTTCATTAGCAATTGACATGTTGCTTTCCCACTCTGTAATGTTTTAGTGAAAGCTACCATGAATTTCTAAGGACCTTCTTCCAGTTTCTTTTACACCATAAAAATATGCCTCAATTACCTTGCAACCAAAAGTTATTTACAAATAGTTTGAATAAATGTGGGCCAGGCCCTGTTCACACCAGCAGAACTGTATTTGCAGAAGTTCTTTAACTTTTGTTTTAAAAACAATTCTTGTAGGGTAGATAAGGTTTAAATTATAATACTTCATTTACATGCTAGATGCTGGGACTTCTACACACAAAGGATTTTATTTATTTTTCTGTTTGTGACAATTGAAGTCTCTGTGGCAGACGGACAAAATTAGTGCCGAGAGTTCTGCTTGTAGCGAATTGAGCTGTTACCAAGAGGCAGCATGAATCAGATCTGATCTGAGCAAGCAGCAACTGACTAGAAATGCATGATGGGAAAAACAAAGCAAAGGAAGTTTCTGTTTTCATCTGATGCTGTTCCAGTTTCAAGTGTTTGGGGAACAGCTTGTACTTACTGCTCTAAACATCAGGGCTGCAGTTGAACTGAATATTTTTAAGAGGGAAGTAAGAACACATGATTAGTTTGTTTCCCCCCCTTAATTTTTTCCCTGGCTTAGGTTTGCATTTCAGTAGCATCTCAGGTCATAGTCTCATCAGAGGCTGTAACAATTAAGCATGTTTGAGTCTGGCACTTATTTGGACAGGAGATAAGCAGATGTGTTGGTGACTGACTAGGTTCACTCTTCCCTGTGAGTCTCACTCTACTAAGAAAAGGTCCAGGTTAGCTGAGTCTGCTACCAGGGCTCACAGCATGCTTTCATGCCAGACTCAGGAATCAACTGGCAAACTCCTGCCAGAAGGAAGCTTCTTGCTTTCCACAATGCCTACCAGAAGGCAGTCCTGTGATCATGATGCCAGCTAGCCTGAAGGTAGCCTGGAACACTTGAACACACACACCGGCCCACTTCCACTTTCCACAGCCCCTCCAACTGTGTCACACACTGCACCTCAAGGAGGCAACCTTGACTAACCCTGACCAACTCCTGCCCCCACTATCCCATCCCAGCATCAACCCCTCACCCAGGGGCTGACTAATCCCCAGCCCACCCCCATAATGAGTGGGGTGCTGGCCTCCAAAGGGCAGCTGCTGCCCATGCCAAAGGAAAGGCTCAGACACAACTCACTCCCTCCAATGCAGAAGACGCTACCCAAGATCTGATATTGAGGTAACCCCAGCACCTCGCAAACTGTACAGGGAAACCCACCCTCAAGGAAAATCAAGAGGGTAGAGACTCTTTTCTCAGATATTTGGCCAGCTTTACACATACTGGGTATATCTATCAACCAAGTTGCATGTAGCCCATGTTATTAAAGCCAATACACACTGTTTGAGAGAGAAAGACCTTTACTGAAAAGCTATTTCAAAGCACTGAATATTAACCCTGGGTAGTAGCTATTTGGTCTTGTATACTTTCACATTTTGTGAAAAGTCAAACTGTCAATAAAAAGAAATACTCACTGCATAAATGATCCATGCCTCTTCTGGACTAAACTGAATGCTGCTTTCAGTAAAGCTGAACATTTACAATCTGATCTACTGAAGAGATATTTAACATCTCTGGCCCATGTGTCTCCACACAGATCCAAAAATTTGGCAGCAGGGGAGCAGTGGCAGTTCAGGGCAGGTGCATAGAGTCAGGCTGATGCACGTGGCCAGCCCAGCATGCCAGTTTGAACCCATGGACTGACATGACACACTGGATCTGACGCATAGACTGGCCCTATACCACTCATCTAGCCCACAGGGCTGGAAGGCTGAGCCACCACTGATCTACTGTGTTCATTATGGAGCTTAGTCAGTCACTCAGTATGACCTACAATTTTTAGTTTCAAAGGGCATTTTTTGTAACGCCTTCCTAGAATCAACAGGCCTTTGATCAACGCCCAAATTATTTTGCACTTGCTGTGCTGGGTCAATGTGCAATGCATAGGTAAGAAAATGTTTCTGAAAGACTTTGTCTCCAGTTTTATTAGAGGGACACCAGTAAATTAGAGGTGCACTGATAAAGATTTTCTTGGCTGATACTGATAGCTGATTATTCACCAGGTATATCAGCCCATACTGATCCAACAACCAATTTACAGCCAAACAGCTTGGAGAGCAACTCCCTGCAGGTAAGTGTGTGTGTGGTGGGGAAGGGATGTGGGGGGGGTGTAGAATGAGGCCCCCCCATAGGGAGGGGGACATGGGCTGGGGGCATTGGCCAGCCCGGGGCAGTGAATGGGACCCTGGGGCCCAGCTGAGGAAATCAGTGTTCTGGTGCTTAAAAATGGTGGCAGCCTCTTGAACTAAAGCTCATCAAATGAGTTCTAGTTCAAGCACTGCCAGCACCATTTTTAAGTGCAGGGACGCTTTTAGAAGTGGAGATGATCAGGGCAAGGGCAGAGATGGGTTGCCCACTGTGGGCTTGGGGCTCTCCACTCTGCTGCCTTTACTTTGGGAGCTGTGCGCTGATTGCATGCCCCCTGCCTGCCTGACAGCAGGAGGCAAAGCTTGCAGGGTGGGTGGCATAGCTTGCAAGGCAGGCAGGGGATTCGTGGCCAGCGTGTGGCTCCTGGGGCAAAAGCAGCAGAGCAGGGAGCCCTGAGCCCACAGTGGGCAGCCTGCCTCCACTCTATGCAAAAATTGGGAGGGGTCATATGCCCACTGTGCTTCCCTCAGAGGTGCGCACAGCGGTGGGAGCCACCCATCCAACCCACACTCCCTGGACAAGCTGCCTATGGCTCTGTCCCACTCCCTGCCCCTGGGTTCTATTCGCTGCCCTGACTGGGCAGCACCCCCTGCTCCTGCCCCCCTCCCTCCATCACTGTGGATGCTTCGATATGCCTCCCCTACACCCCTTCCCCTCCACAGACTTACCTGCAGGGCACTGCTCTCCACACTGTCTGACTACATTAGTTCAGTTCATGCTACAGCATTCCCGGCCACATGCATGTGTCCTGCTGTGTGCGTGCACACAACATCCAGGCAGAGGAGACCCAAGCAGGGTGTGAGGCCTGGGGCAAATGAGCCCATGCAGGGCCCCGCCCCTGCTCCAATCCCATGGGCCCCAGACCTGAAGAAGCTGCCGCCACTGTTGGCACCGGTGGTAGTGAGGGGAGGGGTAACGAGCAGCTGGATGCGGAGCCGCTGCTCTGCCCAGCTCCATGGGGCCCCCCAAAGTGCAGGGCCTGGGGCAGTTGCCCCGATTTGCCCCCCGCCCCCTTCCCCCCACCAGGGACAGCCCTACATTCAGGGGCCCTGGTCAGAAGCCTTATTATATTTATTGGTGACATTATCGGCAACACCGGCCAAGAAAAGTTGATAGCTGATAACGTTTATTTTCCTCTTATATGGTGCCAATCCAATATGCAACCGATATATCAGTGCACATCTACAGTAAATGTTATTTCAGGCACAGCCCCTGTTGACTTAATACTAATTCTAATATTTAATTCTTTATACTAATCAGTCCTGAGAAGCAAGGCATGATTTGCCCTAAAAAATTAATAAAAATCATGGATTGAAACTTTTTTTCCTATTGTTAGATCTCCTGGGAAGGGTTGTTATTCTTTGAAGAATGCGAAGTTAATCACATGCTTATTATTAGTCACAGTGAGCTAATAGCTGGCTGAGAAGTGGAAAAAGACAGACAGACATGCCTGTTTCAGGAGGCTTTGGACGATATTAAGAACAGAAAAAGCTTACTAGTGATTTAAAAGCCTTTTCTTAACTTCCTGAGCAAACTGATGCCATCAACACTTCTGCAAGATTCAATAATTTGACATGGATTTGTAAAGGCTAAATGAAGGCTGAGTGGTTTATTTTTGTTTTTCTTTTTTTTTATTTGCTTTGCTTTTGTATCATCTTCCACCTAGGAGAGAGGTAGTGTTTACTTTGTGCTAGAAATTGGTTGAATGACCACTAAAATCACTGCTGTTCTGTGTTAATCCAATAGTAGAAAATCTGGCAATTCCCTTTGTTGTACTTTTTATACAAGTATTGTTCAAGTAATGATTACCTCAGACTTTGGCTAAACTTGGGTAAGGAGGCTGTAGAGGTCATGACCCAAGGGATCGTGCTCTGTTAGCTATAGGACAAGACATTCAACCATCATACAAACAACCTTTCTATGCCTTGAAATTCTGGAGTTAATGAAATGTAAATACATTTAAAAAATTCTGACAATTGTTCAAATGCCATTCTCTGTGTAAGCACCTGAACCTTGATCTACCTGCTTTGGAAGGATAACAAGCTTGTCTTGAAAATCTAAGTGGTTGCACAAACTGCCCAGATTTAATTATCACTGGAATCTTTACAAGATCATCTTGTTGTTGAAACACAGTTTATCCAGAGGACAAGTCCGGACAGCTGCCTGCCCCTTGCGTGTATAAGCTAATTGTCACAGACAATTAGTTCTTGTGATTATTGCTTATTCTAATACAGTACATATTTAAACTCTAACTGAAAGAGATTTGTGTCCTATAATGAAAATTTTCACTATCCAAAACCTCAGAGCATAAGACTGACTCTCTGGTTTCCATGGTGTTCAAGGTTTTACCATATACTATGTCCATTCAAATTAATAACATTAAAAACTTGCAGTTCTTACCTTTAATCCCTACTCACTCCCATACAAATCAGGTATGCCTTTTGGTTCCTTATAGGTCTTACTAATGATTTCTTACAAAAATCTTTAGTTCTTCCAACTTTTCAGAATTCTCTGAAGAATTTGCTATCGTTCTTCTAACTCCCTGTTATTGTGTTTGTTACAGGTCCATAATTTATTTTAAACCCCTGCCTCCTAAAGTCAGTACTGCATTGTAACATGCAGCATCACCAAAGCACAGAACAAGCCTGAGGTCCTGAGACATGTTTCAGATTCTTGCATTGAAATTCTGCTCCAGTTGCATATATTTACTTTTGATTTAAATACAGTATTGCCAGTTGTATTGTTGCCTGATGCCTTTGTTTCTGCTCAGATTGTTAACTTTTATATTTACAGAATAAAAAGCTCACCCTTCAGTGGAAAAAAACTGTATCAATTAAAGAGTTATAGTTTTATTGATTTTTTTTTTTTTTTTTAAATAGTCATGAAAAGTGATAATCTCATTTATCCATAAAGCAGATTAATTAGAGGTAGCTACCCTGATGAGACAGCTCAAACCTGACCTGAAATGTCAGTTTCCAGGAATAAGAGGATGGAAGAGTTTACATGCCCATGCATGTTCAGCCTTCTTCCTGAGACCATCAGCAGGTTAGAGTGGACATGAACATAATTGCCATTTACTGGATCAGACCATATATCCATCTTGCCTAGCATCAGGACCAAAAGGGAGGCTCTGACTGTGGGGACCCAAGTGAGGGTGGGTCTTCCTCACTCTTCCTCCTCTTCTCACTCCTCCACTCACATCTTCAGGCAGAGTTTTACTGGTCAGCATCTACAAGCTCCCTTGCCTTGTTCAGAGGGCAATGGGTGCTGGCTAGTGTGCTCTGCTTGATATCCCCTTCGGATGCCTTATTAATCCGTGACCCTCACTCCTTTCTGTTTTCTTGTGATCTGTCCCAAGAAACTTGTCACTATGTCTTTAGTGGTCACCCTTTTTAAGGGAAGCTTCTACTTACTGGTTGGGCATTGGCCTACATTCCCCATGCCATGGCAAAAAGGGCTGTCACACAGTGGCAGAGAATGAACATTGATTGAAAACAAAAAAAAATGGGAAAAACCTCTCAGTTGTTTCTATTTTACAGCATTGAACTGAAATAATTTTGGAAGTCTTTTTCAATGAAGCCTCCTCTCCACCCTCTGTCTCCCCTCTCCTCCCCTTCTCCCCAAGTTTTAAATTGTGGCTCCAACATTAGGAGAGATACTTGCCTCTATCCTTCAGAGTAGGTGATGCAAAGTGATATAAAGTGATGCACCTGGGCAAAAATTACCCAAACTACACTTGCTCTCTGATGGGCTCCGCATTAGCTGTTACCGCACGAGAAAGAGATCTGGGAGTCATTGTGGACAGTTCAGTAAAAACATCAGGTCGGTGCTCACCAGCTGCCAAAAAGGCAAACAAAATGTTAGGGATTATTAAGGAGTGAATTGTGATCAAAATGGAAAATGTCATTATGCCCCGTTAAATCCATGGCAGGTTTCCACCTTGAATATTGTGCCCAGTGCTGATCCCCACACCTCAAAAAGGGTAAAGAAGAACTAGAGAAGGGCAATAAGGAAGATTAGTGGTATGGAGGGGCTTCTGTATGAGGAAAACCTTAAGAGTCTAGGCCTATTCAGTTTAGAAAAGATGTTTGGGGGGAGGGGACATGCATGAAAAAGGGTTTACAAAATATTATATGGCAAAAAGAGAGTAAAGAGGAATTTATTTTTTACTCTCTCTTTCTCAAGAATTAGGAGTCACAAAATGAAACTGGTAGATAGTAAATTTAAAACAAACGCAAGGAAGTTGTTTTTCACACAGCGAGCCATTAAAGTGTGATACTCATTGCCACCAGATGTAGCGCAAGTTGACAGTTTAGCCAGATTCAAAATGAGACTGGACAAATTCTTGGAGAAAAGCCGGGAGAGCCGACCCTAGGGGTGTGCAAGGCCTGAGGCATATCAGCCTGTGTGGAAGGAGTCTTGTGAGTGGTGGCACCCTCGTCATGTGCCAGTGGCGCTGTCCACAGGGCCCCCCAAAGCATTGCCCCAATTCACCCCCCCCCACCAAGGGATGGCTCTGAAAAGGGGTACCAGTAGCAATGGAGCATGGGGGTTAGGGATGTAGCCTCTGAATCAGAACTGCCTTGACCTTAAATGCTGGAGGCTGCAAGAGGAAGGGGGAGACCTGACCATGCACCGTTCACTCTGCCCTGCAGCATCTGCTCTCTGCTCCTGACACAGGCCTTGTGGATACACAAAGTGGTGTCATGGGCCTTAGCCCCATGGAGCAAGTTAGTCCCTCCGTTAATAGAGGGGGAACCTGGGCAAGCGCGCTGCAGCCTTCCTTGGAGCCCACTGATTACTCGGGCACCAAAAGAAGGAGGTGGGGATGGGAGCAAAAGTCGTGGGTTCACGAGCGTGCTGCGGGAGACAAGGAGCAGGGCACCCACGGCCCCTCAGACAAGTCCAAGGAGCCCCCGGACGTTGCCCAGTGAAACTGCGTGGAGACGTGATCGGACAAGGACGGGAAACGTTTTCGCAGTGCCCTGGGGCCTCCCGGCCAGAGCCGCGTCCCTGGTCACACACAGTTCGAGCAGAGCCGGGCCGGGGGACCAGGCGGCCCGGGGCCTTCGCAAGACGGACCGATGCTCTGCCCCATCTTGTGGCCGGGGCAGGCTTCACGGCGGGGCTCTGAGCCATATCACCGCTAGGGCAAGCGGCTGGTGCTGACATGGCGCCGCCTGGCAGCGATGGATGAAGGCCGGGGAGGGGGAAGAGGTCCCCAGCCCCCGCCTCTCCCCTCCGGGCCCACGGGCTGGTGCGGAGGTGGCGGGAGCA